GTTATTATTAAATCGTTTCTAAAATTTTTTTTATTTTATTTTATAGTTTGTAAAATTCTTTTTGTGCGGCGAATAGACAGGAAGAGCGACAAAAAAACGAAACAAGCCAAAGTTATAATGGACCATCTCCATTTTCCTTCGTCTGTCACTTCTCCTTGAATGTTTTTCACGTCTCCTATGGCTCGGGCTCCTCCTCCTTTGTCTGTCACTTCTCCTTGAGTGTTTTTTACGTCTCCCATCGCTCTCTCTACGCAGAGACAAACTTCTGCTCGGGCTCGGGCTCGGGCTCTTCCTTAGTCTCTCTCGGCTCTTGCTTCTCGTTGTATGTTCCGCCTTCAGTTCTTTGTAGCTCCCCTCAAGAAACCTATGATGCTGCTCTTCTGCACGGTTGGAAGAGGATGAAGCAATTGTCAAAGGAAGTTTCTTCCGCTGCTGAGCTTCCAGGGTGTTGTGAGCACCTAGTGAGCTTCCGCTTTGGCTGATAGGTCCTCCTCCATATAAAAGACACTCATAGCACCACTCAAATCTGGGTGCAAGAGATAGCACTTGTGATATAGTGCTATGACCAGGATGTGCCAGAAGAACATTGATCCCTCTAGTCATCAACGAGTTGAGGACGTATTGTGTTGACTCTGAGATACTTCTTGAGATCAGCAAGACATTGGTTGGTTCAGGACATTCGATTGCCTCAAAAAGAATGTCCTCTAACATAGCACCAACTCTTGCATCTTTATCTCCAGGAACTCGAAACAAGGTAAGAAAAAAAAGTAGTAAAGGAATTATAAAATTAATGTAAATGGAATATTCCTTAAATATGGTTCTGACTATTTGATATTCGATTATATAGATGAAACATGCTTGTACAAACAAAAGTGTTACTTATCTAATCAAAACTTAAAAGGTGTTATCGACACAAAGAAACTTAAAAAATGTTAGGTTGCGGAAAAAAACTTGTATTTTAAACACGGACAAGTAAGTCATAGTATATGCAAATTTGGTCTGGGTCTAATACAGTAATACTTGCTAGCTAGAACAGCGAAAATATATGAATCCAAATAATTTTATTTGAGAAGATTTTAGTTGATTATTTCAAGTGAAACACATCGAAATGGTTAGATTTGTGCACCCAAAAGGATTTTGAATT